CAATGAGAAATGTAATTGTGTTGTATACCTACAATGTACCAATAAAAGAATTTAATTAAAAATAAAAAATAAAAAATAAATAAAAATATGAATGCTACTGCTGGGTGCCATCCAACAAAAAAACAGGCTTGTAAAAACATGATGTGTCCTCGTCCACCTTATTCATCAGGTCTGGCACTGTGTTACTTTGTTCTTTCCCAAAGTCAAAATAACCATGAAAAGTAAATGTTTTGAATGGATTCTGGACATCAAGGTAGCCATAGCAGTGGACTAAAGACACTTATGAAAAAAGACTTCCAGAACTGCTTCAGAAAGTGGCAAGTCTATCATAAGAGTGCTATGACTATATGAAGAATATTCCTATGTAAATCAGATCAAGGAACTATAATAACTTGGGGTACAATCTTGTTACTTGTCTTCAAGTAACCATAGTTACAGAGCATGAATAATTTTGCTGTTATATAATTTACCAGTCAAGGAGAAATTTCAGCATGTGTCATCTGTAATTAAAACTTACCTTGAGTAGATTCCAATGGTTAGGTATTTGACCCAGAATATGCAGCGGGTTGATTAACCTTACTAAATATACCTTGACTGTGTAGTAATAGTGATTGTATGTGGGGTTTTTTTAATATGTAAATTTTACTTTTAAAAGATATTTAAATTACGGGCTTATTTACTTTGTGTTTTTAACCAAAAGAGGCTATATTTCTCTGCCTGTGGTACAAGAGAGTTCTTTTCAATCCTAGGGCAAGAAGTTGGTTGTAGGAAAAGAAAGTGGGTCCTTTTGGAAATCCTCAAATGACTTATCACTTATGTCTACAATTATCAGTTTATTGACAATCAAATGGGTTACATTCACAGATAACACAAATGTACATGGCATGAAAATCTAACTATAGTTTTCAGGCACAGCGGAGAGTAGCTGTAATCTCCAGCTACTCAGGAGGCTGAGGCAGAATGATCATGAATTTGAGGTCAGCTTTGGCCTTAGTGAGACCCTTCCCAAAATAAAATTTTTAAAAGGGATGGGAGTAATAGTCAGTGTTAAGAGTGCTTGCCAACATGTGTGAGCCCTTGGGTTCAGTTCCCAGTACCACAAAAAGAAAAAAAAGAATAACCATAGTCTTTTTATGGCTGACTTTTGAATTTATATCTTCTGTTTGGGGGGGCCTTCCCCATTATCTGATTCCTAGATAATTACTGATAGCTATGATGAAGACACAACACCTAGTCCCAGTTTTCTGGAAGAAACCGAATGTGAAGTAAGTGACAAAAGAATTGTGACAGAAAATTAACTATGGCAGTCGCCACAGCAACATCCAGTTTCTACGTCCTCCAAGCTAGTGGACCTGTAGACCCAGCTTTAGCCCTAGTAGTGGTTTCAGCTCCAGTATCTCAGGACAACAGTTAATATGGCGTAATTATGAATAAGATTCAAAATCCAGTCTCCCTTGATTTCTCCATAGTTTCTAAACCTAATTCACCAGCCTTCATAATGACTGCATGAGCCACCCAATCTCTTTTCAGTGAAGTCTCCCTTTAACTAAAATAGTCATAGTTGTTTTCTGTTACTTGCTACTCAGAACCCTGACTGACTCATTTGATTTTATTTGGGACACTAAGTTTTGTTGCATGAACTTACCCATAATTATATATGCTGGAAAGCTCCAAGGCACAAGCTTCTGCCTTCTTTTCTATCAGAGATCTCAGCCAGTCTCATGTGTGTAAGTATCAATTCCTAATTGATGATTCCCATTTAATGTCTATCATCCCTCTCTGCTGAGCTCTAAACTTGAAAAAATAACTTCCTACTCAACATCTTCACTGAGATCTCTAACAAGCATCTCTGATTTATATAGCCAAAGAATCTTGTCCATCTTCAGTTTTGTTCTATCTCAGTCAGTGTCACTTCTATTTGGCCAGCAGCTCAGCCTAAAAACTTTATAGTCACCTATGATTCTTCTTTCCTAGCCCTCAACATCCACTCATCAGCAAGTCCTCACCTCTTCCCTATAAAATCTAATCTAAATCCTACTACTTCTCTTCACCTCTACTCTTTCTTCTTTAGCCAAACATGCCATCAATATCATCTGGACTACTACTATAGCTTCTACTCTGCCTCCTGTGATTTGTCTCTCAGTGTAGTCAGAAATGATCTTTCTATAATCTTTCAGATCATGCATATCCCCTATTGAAGACATATTTAAGGATTTCCTTAAAATCCAGTGCCTTTCCTATGGCCTACAAAATCATATATGATCTAGCCCCTACTTTTCACCCTCATTTCCTACTGCACTTGCCTTTCACTGCACTGCAGCCAGACCTGCCTCCTTTTCCTTCCTTCATGACCTTGCTAATGGCAATTATGTCTGCCTGGAATGCTCTCTCTCCAGAATAAGTGTTTCCTTCTCCACATTCAATTATTTTTTTCAAACCGAAAGTCATCCAAGAGGCCTTTGCTGACCAAAATTAACTCCTTTCCCTAATCACTATATGTCCCATTACTTTGCTTTGTCTTCTTCAAACCACTTGTTAGAATTTGACATTACAAAACTGGGTATGGTGGTACACTGATACACTCCGTAGTTGTGTACTCCGAAGGCTGAAGTGGAAGGACTGACTGACCCCAGGAGTTTGGGGTCAGCCTGGCAACACAGTGAAAGGAAAGGAAAAGAAAGAGACACAGAGACAGAGGAAAGGAGGGAAACAGAGAAAGAGAAATGAAAGAAGGGAGGAAGGAAGAAAGGGGGATGAAAGAAGGAAGAAGGAAGAAATGGAAGGACAAAGGAAGGAAGAAAGAAAAGGGAGAGAGAGAACATGGAAGGAAGGGAGGGAGGGAAAAAGGAAAGAGAAAGAAAAGAAAGAAAGAAAGAAAGAAAGAAAGAAAGAAAGAAAGAAAGAAAGAAAGAAAGAGAGAAAAGGAGAGAGGTTTGAAATTACATTATTTACTCATTTAACCTGTGTGTCTCCTAACAAACTGTAAGCCCTATGGAATGGTATCTGTTCACCACTGCAAGTCCAATCCTTAGAAGGGGTCCCAGTATAATAACTACATATTAAATATTTGTTGAACAAATGAAAGAATATGTCAGTTATATAATAAAATTAAATACAGAAACTTTACCTTCTCAGTAAGATTGTCAGTATGGCATTTATCAACCTATCAAGAGATACTTAAAATACCTTTAGTCCTGAAAGATATACTCTGTCAAGTGATGATAAAAAAAAAAGAGGCCATTACCTATAAATCAGTACTCCATCCAGGCCTAAGTAGGAAGTGGTTAAATTGAAAGAAATATAAATTTCTGAAAAATAATTATTATTCTGAAAAATAATTATTGCCCAATAATGTTTCCTCTGCAAGAACTCTAATACTATCACTTTCTATGTTCATTTGTATTAGGGAGAATCTTGTATTACCCAAAGATGAGTAGATAAAATGATCTTTAGATCACTTAATAAATAAATTTAAAACACTTTGAAATTCTTAGATGAAATACAAATCACTTGTCAAAAGTACAATCTTATTTGTCAAAACATGAAATTGAAAAAAGAGAAGACACAGAAATAACAGGCTCAGAGCTGCCAAATTGACAGCCTGTATTAAGTGAGATAGTCAAAACATTCATATGCTAATTTTTAGAGTGCTGTCTATCTGGCCACCCATACAAAAACAAGAGAGGCTTTTTCTTCCTATTTCAAAAGTATGTGAATGGGTCATAGAGTAGACAATGATTACCAAATTAAGGAACAGCAATTTAGATCATGAAGAATTTCCATTTAAGTTCTGAGGGCTCATAAAAGACAACTACTAACTGACTTGCTTGGGAAGTAATTCAGAAGATTCAACCCCCACAAAAATATTCTTTATCACCTATATCAGTTAACATAATTATTGGCAGTCTTCTGGGAGATAAACATAATGCCAGAGATAGCTTTCTATGTTAGCTGAGATTAGCTATATACTATTAATGGCAAAATTGAACTATCAAAAAAGCATCAAAATAGGTTTAAAGATTTAACTGAAATATACAAATATTATTTTTAATTATTCTCCTTTTTTTTCTCTTGTTGGCAGTTGAACCCAGGTCCTCACACACGCTAGGCAAGCCCCTACTACTGGCCCAGCCCTTTAAAAGATTATCTTATTTGCATTCCCTCAAAGTAGTCCTCTTTCACTAACATCCATAACACTAATAGTTCTAGCAGTTCCTTGAAATGTTCTTTCCATCTGGCTGATGAGTTCATCATACCTGCACTCTATTTTCTGGAATGTGGAATCTGGTCTAGCAATAAAACCAAATTTTTGCTCAAATTTGCTTGGGTAAGAATGCTAGTGTTTGTAGACTTGAATTCACATATTATGCTGCTAAAAAGGAATGTGGCCATATATTACATGATTCCATTTATGTGAAATCCCTAGAATAAGCAAGTCTATGCAGACAGAAAGTAGATGTCTACAACCAGTATCTGAGGAGTAGAGAAAATGAGGAGTGAATGTTAGTGGGTAAGGGGTTTTTTCCAGGGGAAATGAAGATGTACAGTGGGAATGGTTGTATGACTTTGTGACTAAACAAGCAAACAAAAAATCAAAACTACTGAATTATACAATTAAAAGCCTAAATTTTATGATATATTATTCAATTTAATAAAGCTATTGTGAAAAAAGAAATGTGTCCAGATGTCTCCAAGCCATAAAAAATTAAGTTAAAATATAGAGCTCTCAATTGAAAACTATTTAATTTCTTTCTTCCTTCCTTTCTTTCTTTCTTTCTTTCTTTTCCTTCCTTCCTTCCTTCCTTTCTTTCTTTCCAGAAATGAGATCTTGCTATGCTGCCCAGGCTCGCCCTGACCTTCTGAGCTCAAGAGATACTCTTCCCTGTGCCTCTCAAGTAACTAGAACTATAGGTGTGCAATACTGCACCCAATTTCTTATTATTTTTTACAATCATTGGTATGAGTACTACTTGTGTTCTACAGTAGACAACAAAAATAAACAATAAGCAAAAAGCAAACTAATGTCAGCATTAAAATCTGAGAAATCAGATAAACAATCTCAGTTGAATGGCTTATTTTATTCATGGACATGTGCTAACAGTATGAATTTATTATAGTGTGTCCCACAAATTAATTTTCTATAATTATCATCATCTATAGCTCACTTGAAAGATAAAATAAAATGTTAATACTTCATAGCACTCCACTAAAAACAGCATGGATCTATATGATGTCTTGTTAGATACATTTGAGCCAATACAATGAACAAAACTAGTAAGGACAAATAGAGATGAAATTAATCTTTATCTTAATAATTAGCATATGGCAAGGTAGCTCATCAATTCTACAACCACAACACTTAAAAAATGTGCACAACCCCTTTTCTCAAGCCCCACAAAAGTAGATAGAAAGGTTGCTTTATACAACCTCAACAATTTTAGCACCACCTAAAAGATAAAATATAAAACGTTTAATTCTAAAATACAGTGTCTATCCTATATATCAAAATCAATTCTAACCTAAAAAAGAAGCCTTTTAGGAGGCCTACTTTCTGAGGCCTAGTTGTATCTTCCCAAGCAACAGTCACGGCTTCTTTATCTGAAAATTCAAAACTCAAGTTATCTATACAATGTCTAGCTTCTTACATAGTTATTTCTATTTACATGAGTTTTAAAAACAAAACAATCCATTCAAATGGTATACTGTTTTAATTTTGCTTTTGTAAAATTATACTTTTCCACAGAATAATCCCTTTTCATTAGTTTTATTTTTAAAAAATTTTTATATTCTTACCTATTAATTCTTCCACAAGTGAATGATGTCATATTCCAAGAAAAACGTGTTAGAATTTTTATTAACATCATACTGTTTCCAAAAATAATCATGGAAAGAGAATATGTCCATTTAGTCAAGCTCTTTCTATAACTTTAAATGAATTTCTTATATAGAAACTACCTCATATAAAATTATACATGGTTCTTATTTAGATCATTTAAGCAATTTTTGTCATTATAAATAAGCCTCTTTTTTCTATTATATTTTCTAACTTAGATGGCATACTAATTAGAATGTTAAGTGGAATGTTATTTATTTACTGAATTCTTACTTGTTCTAGTATCATAGTGAACTTACTTGGATTTACTAGTGGTAAAATATGTTTGCTATATTTTTGTATCAATTTTGTATGAGATTTTGCTTAAAAGTTCGACCTGAAAAAATTTATAGTAGCCAGGCCTGGTGGCACATGCCTGTAATCCCAGCTACTTAGGAGGCTGAGTCAGGATCATAAATTCAAGCCCAGTCTGGGCAACTTAGCGAGATGCTGTCTCAAAAGAAAATAAAAAGGGTTGGGGCTATAAAGTGGTAGTAGAGTGCTTGCCTTGAATGCACTGTATTCAATCCCCAGTACCACAAAAACAAAACAAAAATACCTGTAATTCAAGCTACATAGGAGGCTGAGGCAGGAGGATCCCAAGTTCAAGCCCAGCCTGGGTGATTTACCAAGACCCTGTGTCAAAATAAAAAATGGCAAAAATAAACAAATAAAAATAATAAATAAATAAATAAAAATGGGTTGGGGGTATAGCTCAGTCATAGAGTGTTTGCCTAATATCCACAAGATCCTGAGTCCAATCCCCAGTACTGTACCTCAAACAAATAAATAATAAAGCATCTGGCATACTCTCAGCCTAGTTCATCATTGTGGCTTCCTTTCTTCTTTGTCATTATTTAATTTTATATAGTTATCTTTCAAATGCCTAAAACTTTATTAACAGTTGTATTTTGACCATCTCATCTTTACATCCTCAGTACCTACAGTGGTGCCTAATACATAGTAACACTAAAAATGGGCGGAATGAATGAATGAATAACCATTGGCTTACCCAAAGATAAATGGCTAGTAAGTGGCAGAAATGCTATTATACTTTGCAATATAGATCTCTTTCCACTGAACCACATGGTCTTCTTGAGTCTTAAAAACTACCTACAGCTTTTTCCTTTGATTTTTGAGGTCTTCCACAATCTGGGCCTATCTGTCCTCACCAAACCTATCCTTCTTGATTTCAAAAACAGGTGAGCCACCCTAGTCCATAAATAGTGGTCACTTTTCTGTCTTTCCCACTGGTCATGCTCACCCCCATCTAGGTCACGGCTTAATAGGATGCTCTGTTCTATAATTCCCTCCATTTTCAAGTCCTGCACATACTCCCTCCCAACACACATATTACAGCCATCATTCACTGAAAAGCTTGTCTCCTGAATCTTCTCTGAACCCATATTGTAATTACAGTGTATACAATTTGGCTTTATTCTCTAATTGTTTATTATTTGTTAGCATTTCCTCTCCTATTACCTTCTGAAAGTAGGAACTATATTGTATTTTTGACAATATTAATGTTAAAATACCATCTACTTATTGAGTGACTGATAAATCATATTATTCAAAATATTCACTTTTATTCTCTATCTGACCCATCTGAACAGAATCCCTCTCTTTGAGATGAGTCTACTTCCTGCTCCAGTGCCGTCAGGCTTTTGTTCCATTGTGCCCTTTTTCTTCTGTCATGAGGCTGGCATGTCTCAGATAAGGGTATGCCAAAACTGGGTTGTTAAGCAGGCTTACAACTCATCTAAAGTCAATGTGAATAAATTAATGTGAATTAAAAACCAAACTCCTTTCCTTGAAATCCACTGAGATTTGGGGACTGTTACCCAGGCATGACTTAACATAAACTAATACCCAAAACAACTCTCCTGCTTTCCCCATCTCTACCTTTCCAATTTACATAAAAATAACAACACAACATAAGAAATTCGGAGATTACTTGGAAAGCTTTGTGGCTTACCTTATCCCAAGTCAAAGTAGGACTGTGGCCTTCTAAAAAAAATCAATCATAAAGACTGAAAATACCTGTAATAAGAGAAGTCTGGCATCTCCTTTCCCATTGAGATAATCAGACCAGCAGTTCTCCAATTTTAGCATGCAATAAGATCACCTAAAGGAATCATTAGAACACAGATCATTTGACATGTCTAACAAATTTCTGGGTGATATTAATGCTGTCTAAAGACCAGGCTTTGAAAACTTCTGAGTTAGGCAATGGATAGTTGATCTGACCTGATAATTTCAGGGAAGTGGCAGAGGTTGGACAACAATGGAACAGCTTAAATGTCTATTACTGGCATGGCAAAGATGATGAATTTATAAAATTTAGACATCATAGAAAATGGGTTGGCCACTGATTAAGAGAGACAAAGAAGGACACTACATCCTTGTAAAGGGAACAATTCGAGAGGAAGGGATGACAATCATAAATGTATATGCACCAAACACTAGTGCACCCAACTATATAAAACAAATACTAACAGACATGAAAAATCAAATAAGCACTAGTACAATAGTAATGGGGGACCTCAATACCCTGTCACAGATAGATCAACTAGACAAAAAAGCAACGAAACACTAGAACTCAATCAAACTCTTGAACAAATGAATTTTACAGATGTTTACGGAGTGTTCCACCCCACAAAATCAGAATACACATTCTTTTCAGCTGCACACAGGTCATTATCCAAAATAGACCACATACTCTCTCACAGAACATGTTTAAGTAAGTGCAAAGGAATTGAAGTTATCCCCTGTATATTATAAGAAACCTAAACTCACCTAAATAAAGTGTTCCTGTTGAGAAGTCTAAAGCCATTCTTAATCCAAATGCTTCCTTCATGACCCTTTAATATATCCCTTTTTCTGGAAGCTTATAAGATTTTCAGTATTCTGAAATTCCTTGATAACACTGCATGCCTTGATGTGAGCACATTTTCACCTATGGTGTTGGGCACTCAGTGAGATTTTTGATCCAGACATTAATGTTCTTTGGAAGTTTCAATTCATTTATTTGATGATTTCTTCCCTATTTTCTCTTTTGTTGAAATGATTATTATGTCTTGGGCTTGAGCTTGAATTTTTTCCTATCTTTTTACTTTTATTTTCAAATTATTTTCCTTTTCACTCCACTTTATGAGAGACTTCTATAGCTTTATCTTATTGAACTACTAATGAATTCTTAGTTTTTGTTATATTTTTAAATTTCTAAAAGTTATTTTTGGTTTTCTGAAGTTTTGTATTTTTTAAAGTAATCTATTCTTATTTCATGTTGCAGTTTTGCTATGTACCTGAGGACACACCACAATTCACCATGCACTCTCTCACACACACAGACACACACATTTACTTTTTGTTAAAATGTAATCTAAGAGTACAAAGGTATATGAAGCAGGATATATAATTCACCAGGAAGTAAACGTCTGTGAAGCTACCAGCTAGGACAACAGAATGAACTCTCCCATCCTCTCTTTTTGGCCTTCCCTTTTCCAAGCATTAGTTCTTTCACTGCTCAAGACTTATACCTTCCATTGATTAAAAAAATGGCTAAACAAGTCAGTCTTTATTTGTTATATAGAAGATAGCTGCTGTTTAATCAAAAAAATGTCATTGTATAAACAAACAAGCAAACAAAAAAGAATGATAGGAACATCTGGGAGAAAATCATCCAGAAAGAAAGACTGGAAATTAGCTATGTTTTTAAAAAATTAATACATATACATATGGTTGCTCTTTGTGTTTCTTAGTTTGGTTGGTATGGGTTAGTATATGGTTATATTTGGGGCTTTCATTAGCCGCAGGAAATGCAGTCTTTGAAGACAAGGTTTGTGATACTAACTTGTGTCATTCATTTATCAATCAACTGTACATCATTTATTAAACCCTAAAGATTTAAAGATGCCTTCAGCACAGTCATTGCCCTCTAGAGACTCAAAGGTATTTCCAGACTTCATATGACCTATTCTTTAAAAGTAACTAATAAAAGTCAGAAATGAGGCATTGTTTTTATCCGAGTAAAAGAGATGTATCTGAGACTGGCTGGGCAAAAAACTGCAATATTATGTTAATGTTCCCAGTGTTCTTTCTTATGTTATACAGAGTCACACGCCACTGATTCTAAATTTCAGTGGA